CGCCATCTATTACGAACACGTACAAAGAAATAGACACTAAAAGAAAATTCATGCTGCGCAACGCAAAATCGTAAAATTCGCTCGCGTATAACAATGGTGAAAAATACACTTTCGTAACTAAATGGTAGAAAATTCACTCTCGTAACACAAGGGTGGAAAATTCGCTCATGTAACGCACGGATGGGATATTCATTTGCGTAAATATTTTTTTACATGCGGCGGTTCCTTTTTTTCAAAGTCAGATGCAACATGGTGGACAGCGAAAATGGGATTCAGCCTCCACAGATGATTCAGCAAATACTGCGCTCGCGAAGAAATTGACTTGGGAGAGTGCCTGAGGGCGTTAAAGCTTCTGAAGTTCGGACGCATGTCTGCATGACAGCGGCACTGAGCTATACTATACGTCTCAGCCTCTTAAACTATCTGCCGTAGCGCTTCTGTGCCAAATATGGCGCTTATATCACAGTCTGAACCATCCACGTTGTTTATATGAATGCTAAAATATAAGAGATAAATAAATAATAAAATAAAGTAAATAATAAGATAATAGTAAAAATAAGATAAAAAAAATAAAAAAATAATAAAATACAAGTTATGAGAGACTCCGAGAAGAGTAACTATACAGTCGGGGCCGGCGCCACGGGGGCAGGGGGCGGTGCGTCCGCCCCAGCCCTATCAATTTGAAAGAAAAAGGAAAGAGAAAGAAAAAAAACAAGAATAAGAAAACATGAAAAAGAAAAAGATAAGAAGAAAAGAAACATCTTACAAATGTCTTGCAAAATGATGGGAGGTGGGGGTCACCCCCCCATCATTGCCAAGAAAAGGTAAAGAAGAAGAGGATTCTGTAAATAATGGGGGACGCCAAAAATGTGATGAGCCTACAAAGCTGGACCTTTAACATCGAAATGATCGAAAAATTAAGTGTCGAAATTCAATCCAGTTCAAACACTGCTGCTTACTTTGATCAATCGATGTCAAGGTGTTATTTCCTTGGGAGTCCGCAATTGGACCATCATGTGTCGATGATGCTGTTTCCCGCGAAAAGGTAGGCCCACTTGAGGTGTACAACTTATAAAATTATAATTACTAACGTTCAGACGACCGTCTAAAATACCTTACATCTATCTTATTTTTTACCTCGCCACGGAATGAGCGGAGTTATGTGATCGGGTCTGTGCGTTCGCTGTAAACGTTAGCGTGTGTGTGTGTGTGTTGCCTGATGTGTGTGTGCTGTGTGTGTGTGTGTGGTGTGTGTGTGTGTGTCGTGTGTGTTGTGTGTGTGGGTGTACCGCAATCGATATTAGCGCGTCAGCGAGCCGAGCCAACCCACAGCCGCGCCTGCTGCTGACTGAGCGGCGGCGCGCATAACATGTATCGCTGGCGTATATCGTGTTATTCTGTGTGTTCGTGAGTCGGTATGGCGTATGGCTTATGTCGCTGCGGAGTTTCTTCTCCTGAGTCGGCCCTCTGTCTAGTTTTAGTAGTGCTGCGTATCCTACCGCACGCCGCGCGCGCGTTGCGCTGTGTGTGTTGTGTGCGTTGCGTGCTTCATCTCTCTCCGGTCATGTTTTTTCTCTCGCTCGCTACATAATAGCAACATATTATTGTCCCAAGTGCATACAGACATAGATATTAAAGCATATCACTGTTCCCCGCCCCATATATACCGAGACCCCTGCTTTTAAACGCGTGTCCAGTTTCCATAGCATGAACTTTCAACGAAATCCTCAACTAGTTCCGAGACCCCATTTTGAACATAGGCCGTTCCAGAGCATACCACATCAACAAAACATTAGTTCCAGAACACCTATTTAAGGTCTGCAGTTAGTTTCCAGAGCCCCCCCCCACCATTATTTAACTTCGCAGTGGCACATACCAGATACCTACCATAATGGGGGAGTCCTCCCCCCCCGGGTTTTCATCTGCCTTGTATGATGTTGCTCCTTGGTTCCCTGCACAAATTTTTGTCACAATTTGAGGCGTTTGATTAGCTAAATCTGCTGAGAAGCTTCCCCGACCCCTGGCCAGGCTCTGCCGCCTGCGACCCCGCCAGAAGGCATACTAAGCGCGGCCCCTGGCGACGGATTCATAACGCTTGCGTAAAGTGTATTGCGTATCACAAGTTTCTACGAAGTATACTACACAAGTCGTATGTGCCGATTCACAACGCCAGCGTACCACCTGCGACGCACATGCTTGATAGAATTACCAGTGTAAACCACTACTGCCATTCGTGAGCTGCTGGCTGGAGGCCCGTGCGCCTAGCATTAAACCAATCACACTGTGGCGACACATACGCTAGGAACCAACGACGCCTCTCCTCTGTATCGTCTAGCTCTGTCTACATGAGTGCTCGGGATGTGATAGTTCGCTCATTTTCGTGTGTATGATTGTGTTCAACACCGATGAAAGCAGCGACACGTCGCGTGCGTGCGTGCGTGTGCACGTTACCAACATGCGTGCCGGCGCTGTGCACTACACGTGCGTGCGTCCGTGTGCCGTACACGTGCGTGCGGATGTGTGCACGTACCCTGCGTGCGTGTGCACCGTACACGTGCGTGCTTGCCTGACGTAGCACGGCGTGCGTAGCGTGCGTACTACACGTGCCGTGCTTGTGGCACGTACAAGTGCGTGCGTGTCACGTACAGGAGCTGCGCAGCGCGTGGCAGCGTACAACGGCTAACTACGAACTCGTGTTTTATAACGAAAAACCCTATGCGAAGCTATGAACAAAAAAAGCGTCAAAGGCGCCGCCTGTCACTGTGTAGTATGGTAATTATTATTTTAGTTTTATGTAGAGAGCTATATTTATAATGTTTCTCAATAAAATAATGCATGCTGCGATATGCTGGAAACAACCTGCGGAAATTTTCTAGTGTTTACGGGCCACCTCGTCAGCTCGTGTATGAGTTACGAAAAGCGTTTACGTCAATTTTAGTTGATGAATCGCACCTAAAAAGCGCCTCGCGCTTGCGTACGCGAAATCTACAAAATCTTTACTAAATAGCCGTGTTGAATGAATCGCAACTAAAGCAACGTCATCATCTAACACAAGATTTACAGCAAAATATATTTGCGTACGCACCTTGATGAATGCATGAATCTACCCCCTTGGACCCCACCCGTCAGCTGCAAGCCACACGGGTAATCAGAGTCTACAGTTTCCCAGAGGGCGTGTACAGGGGGGGTCCAGGCGGGTCGCACCCCCCTGCTCGCGCAGAAAACGCATCTGAGGGGCTCTAATTTCAAAAAAATTTGGGACGAGACGACCAGAACCCCCCCGCCCTTCGCGTGCGTGCCATTGTACAGCCGCCCCTGGTTTCGCCCTCATAAGAAAAATACACCTGGCCGCCCCTGTATAGCAGTCGCTAGGTTTAATTATCTCACCTGGTCCGTCAATCGCTCTGCCGCACTTACCGTCCACAGTCGCCGTTCAGCAGGCGATCGGCTTCACGTGCGATCGTGTTTTGAAGGGACTTCGGAAATCGTTCAGGCTGCAGATGTGACCAGAGTCTAGCAGCGTCCCAATCTCCCCACTCTGCCCAATATATAGTAATGCGAGATAAATGCATTGGGTTTGTTTATGTCAACGTATACTGCGATAGCACACGCGTATATATATATATATAATATATATTATATATATATATGATAATATATGTGTGTGTGTGTGTGTGTGTGTGTGTGTTGTGGTGTGTGTGTGTGTGTTGTCGCTGCGTGCGTGCTGCGTCTCGTGCCGCAGTGCGCCGCCGCGCGGGCGTCGTGTGTGTGTGTGTCGTGGTTGTGTGTGTGTGTGTGTGTGTGTCGTGGTGTGTGTTGTTCTGTGTGTGTGTGTGTGTTGTGTGTGCTGTTGTGTGTGGTGTTGTGTGTGTGTGTGTGCTGTGTGGCTGTGTGTGTAGTTGTGTGTGTGTGACATATATATATATATATATTAGCGGTTGTACTGTACAAGATGCGTCTGCCTCTACATGCAGCAGTACCGCACAGACTTCGGCTCCGCAAATCCGTCAGCGAGAGCCTAGCTTTGATCTTATCTCTTAGTCGCGTCTGTCTCTCGCATCGTCTGTTAGGCGCCGGGACCTGACAATCCCGCCAGTGTCTGCTAGTGCTGCATATCAGCGAAGCCTGTTCGCAAGCTTTGCTACGCGGCGTTAATTATTTGATGCGCCAATCAAATGCAGCAGGCGATAAAACCCAGACTTTCTCAACCAGTTATCATCCGCTAATGCAGTTGGAACGGAGGAGAGAGAGAGTAATCAGAATGGGAGGGTAAATCTGGACGAGGAGGAAGAGAGAAGGAGGTGGTGAAGGCAGATTAGATGGAGAAGGTGGAGAGAACGAGGAAGCAAGCAGAGGAGGGGAGGAGGAGAGAGGAATGGCAGGAGAGGAGTAAGCGAGAAAAGCAGACGAAGAATGCATGAAATAATGCAAGGCGATGGTAGAAGAAAAAATAGAAAAAGAAAGAGGAAAGAGACAGGGGAATGGCAAGTAGGTCATGCAAAGGGGAAGCAAGAAGAGAAAGAGTGAAAATCGCAGACAGGGACAAAAGGAGAAGCTAATAGAAGAGAAATCGGAGCAAGAGCGGCCGCAATGAGAAGAAGGAGAAAGGCGAAGGATATGCGTGAATGAGAAACACGCTGAGTCCTGCCTCCGGCATTCTTGCTGCGATATTTTTCGCGATTGAGCAGGCGGGCAAACCTCATTGAACACACGTAGCAAGGCAATTCGCGCGAACTGGTATAACAAAGGCGTACTGTTTGCAGTTACTGCTGCAGCCCGGCGATCGGCGAGATAGTGACGAAGATGATGTATGACCGCATGACGATGATGAACGTTGACCGATAACGAATGGTGAGTGCATAATGATGGATGATATGAATATGAATGATAATGATAATGATGATGTGATAATGATGGGCGCGTTTTTTGCGTGTTCTGACCATTTAAAGGCATTAAACTTTTACGAGAAAAATAAAACTCTGACCTGTTTTGCTGGACATGTCCATTTGCGCCTTGAGCTTGTTTCTGGTGTAGAATGTCTGGATAAGAAAAAAAAATATATACATTATATATATATATATATATATATATCAATTATAATAGTAATATAAATATATAAGCATAGTATTTTTAATATCATTATGATGATCAATCAATCCAGTCCATCCAATCATTCATCCATGCTATCCACATATAATATCTATCGATCTATGCTGTCGTTCGATTTCTCTCTCTCGTCTCTCTCGCTCTCTCTCTTTCTCCTCGCTCTCTCACTCACTCCTCTCTTTCTCATCACGCTCTCTCTATCACTGCTCTCTCTCACTCTTTCTCTCTCAACGACTCTCTCTTCTCTATCTTTTTCTGTCTTTCCCTTCCCTAGACCTCTGATTCTCCTTCGCGTAAGTACGCCTCCTACAATGTCACGCGGTTAGAATATCGCGGCTGCACACTGCTAACAACACTTAGCGTCCGATGTTCATATCCGCACCGAACTGCCTAGTTATCACGGGCTCCGTTATTTATACATATATACTAGCATGGACACCCGGTTGCCCGCGAAATGAAGGCACTCAGTTGTCCACCAGCTGGTTGACAAGAAAAATACCCCTAACAATATCTATCTATCTAATGTATCTATGTATCTATGTATCCTATCTATCTATATGTTATCTAATCTTATCTATTGTATCATCGTCTTGTATCTATGTATCTATGTATCTATGTTCTATTACATCTATCTATAATCTATCTATTTATCTATATATCTATCTCTCTATCTATCGTATCTATCTATCTATCATCTAATCTATCTATCATATCTATCTATCTATCTATCTATCTATCTATCTATCTATCTATCTATCTATCTATCTATCTATCTATCTATCTATCTATCTATCTATCTATCTATCTATCTGTTATCTTATTTTATTACCTACAAAAAGCCTGAATGAGAAAACCAATGAAGCAATTCATACTATAAACAACATTATTAATAATCATGCCCCTACAAAACAGGCCACTCGGAGTAAACAAAAACAATTAAATAGACCATGGATTAAAGGTGGAATTCTGAAATCTATTAAAAGAAAACAAAAAATGTATCGTACACATTTCCTTAGTAAAAACCCTGAAAAAAATACAGATGTACAACAAGTATGCAAACACACTAACACATTTAAAAAATAAAAGTAAGACTGGCTATTATAGTTCACAATTTTCAAAGCATAAGGATAACCTCAAATCCACTTGGAAGCTTATAGGTAATATTATCAAACGGAAAACTAAGGGACAGTCCCTCCCTACCAAAATTACCTGTGACAACAAGACATATACTAATACTGCTGATATAGCTGATCAATTTAACAACTTTTTTGCTAATGTAGCCCCAACCTGGCAAGTAAGATTAAATGCGACCAAACAACAAAGAAACCTACCCAGTAAATAAATAAGTCTCCTTCTTCTAGCTTTTTTATGTCCCCAGTGACGGAATCTCAAGTTCTTACTCTTTTTGCTAACTTGAATGAAGGCAAGGCCTATATATTGGCATACCTAATAAATTTATTAAACTAGCAAGTGCCCACCTATCAATTCCATTTACAAAAATATATAATGAATCAATCATGACAGGAATAGTACCAGATATTTTCAAAATATCAAGAATAACCCCAGTATTTAAAAATGGAATTGCTACTGACCCCGGAAATTATAGACCTATAGCTATTATATCTGCCTTTAGTAAAATCCTTAAAAAAATAGTCCATGATCAGCTTATACTTTTCCTAGAAAACCACCAAATACTGTACGATCATCAATTTGGATTCAGAAAAGGCTATTCAACTGAATATGCAATTCTTGAAACAATAGAAAATCTAAAATCAGCATTGGATGGAAGCAAAATAACCTGTGGAATTTTCCTAGATTTCTCTAAAGCATTCGACACAATAAATCATCAAATACTCTTAGCAAAAATGTATAAATATGGAATTCGAGGCTTACCCCATGCATGGTTTACTAATTATCTAAACGGTCGAAAACAATATGTCAAAATAGACAATACAGAATCTAGTTTAAGAAATGTAACATGCGGCATACCACAAGAATCCACTCTAGGGCCCCTCCTATTCCTCTTATATATAAATGACCTCCCAAATTCCTCCAATAAATTATTATTTAAAATAATTGCAGATGATACCAATATTTTTTATTCCTCAACAGATTTAAATAAATTAGAAAAAGTTATAAACGATGAACTTGCAAATGTCTTAGAATACTGCGCTGTGAACAAACTTTCAATTAACTTTAAGAAGACAAAATACATGCTAATTAATTACTTCCCCTAGAAAAAAAGCCTATTATTACAATAACTACATGTAACATAGAAAAAGGAACACAGATAAAATATTTGGGTGTTTTTATTGATGACCATTTACAATGGGATGCACAGATAAAACATGTTAATAACAAACTGGCAAAAAATATAGGTATTCTAAACAACTTTATACAATATGTTTCTATTAGCACCCTTAGACAACATTATTATACCCTCATATACCCATATATTAATTATGGCCTAATGAGCTGGGGGACTGCCTACCAAACTCGATTACAACAAATCAAAACAAAACAGAATAAATGTATGCGTTCCATCTTCTTTGCTAAAAAAAAGAAAGTGCTACCCCATACTACAACCTTCTAGACATTCTAAATCTTGATAATGTTTTTAAACTCAAAATCTCAACTCTTGTACACAAAATCAAGTATGTTAAAACGGATATTCCTGCAGCCTTTATTGATCTAATTCCTTCTGCTTTACAAATACATAATTACAACACTAGGTATGCCTCAAAGGGTAATCTACACAGACCTGCCTCCAGGACTATAACCCGAGTCGTGAGGGTTACGGGTCCGGCTAGGAGCGTTGGAAGGGTAGGGGTGTGGAGCGACGTTAAGGGTAAGGGGTGTGGTAGGGCGTTGATGGTAGGAGGAGGAGAGGAAGTAAGAATGGAGGAAGAGAGTGATGGTAGAATAGAAGAAAGAGGAAGAATGGAAAATGTTCGTCGATATAATTTTTATTCATCCATCCCTGTGCAGCAGTGTGTAAGTTACGTGTATGTCTATGTATAGTATATTATGGTCTATGTGTTATGTGTTATGGAGTAATAAATACACTAATAGCTTTCGTAAGTCACATCATGGCAATCACATTATACAGATTTGCAAGTTTACAATATTTAATATATTTTTACAAATAATTAAATAATTACAATATTTTAATATCAATATACTAATATTGTGTAAGATACTTACGTTCAAATACATGCAGCTTTAGCTACATTCCTCTTTGAAATTTATCAAAATTGACCTTTTAAAATGATCAGAATTGGTTGCTTTCAACATAGCCTGAAAATGCAGGAAATACCAATTCCAGGCTCTAAATTTTTTTGGGGGGAGTTCCCCCAGACCCCCTGTATCGGCTTCGCAATCGCGGCGTTAGCCATGCGTGCCTGCGCCACGCACCATAATCGCCACGCTATTGTTGTACTGCGAAGGGTTGTAGATCTCCGTGTATGATGTACGCGTCGACCGCGTAGAAGTGGCATCCGCGGCTAGCGTAGTCGCGAGATAACCAGTAGACGTTTAGCAGCAGCAGGCGTAAGAGAGCAGCATATAACCACAGTAGATCGTAGACGTAGACGTAGTCACGGATTAGTAGTTCAGCATAGACTTCTTATTATTAATAGCATTCATTACAAAATATATATATATTACATATTATTAATACAGCTATTAGGCATACCAATGGCATAGGCTCTCTGACTGACTACATAGTCTCTCTAAATCTTATATCTTCTGTGTGTCCTCCTTGCTTGTCAAATGCTGCTTATATATATGGGATCAAAACCGGCTCTAGAAACTGACTGTCGTCTAAACTAGAACCTTGCTGGGAAGCAGCGAATGCCCGCTCGTAGGTGCAGTGCGTCGTGTCAGCTTATTCCTAGCGCAAGGCGGATGCGAAGGCGGCGCCCGCGTCCATTGTCCGGCGCGAGCAAGCGCTCAGCCGCTCCTGTGTACGAGTGGCTAGGTGCAAGCGTCTGCATTCCGTTGTCCACGCCGCTTGTCAATCTCATACTGGCATGAGTGCGACATGCCTGAATACAATACTAATTATCACTGGTGATCCTATCATTTGTCTTAGCAGTAGCACATTTGGGAGGCCACTACGGTTCCCTAGTGCGTGTTTGTGATGTGTGTGTGTGTTGCTGTGTGTGTGTGTTTGTGTGTGTGTGTGTGTGTGAGTGTGTGTGTTGTGTGTGTGTGTGTGTGTGAGAGTCGTGTGTTACTGTGTGTGTGAGTGTGTGTCGTGGTGGTGTATTGTGTGCGTGTGTTTGTGTGTGGTGTGTGTGTGTGTGTGTATTTGTGTGTGTGTGTGTGTGTGTGTGGTGTGTGTTGTGTGTATTTTGGTGCGGGTTGTTTGTGTGTGTGTTGTGTGTGTGTTAGTTTGTGTGTGTGCGTGGTGTTTGTGTGTGTGTGTGTGTGTATTGTGGCGTGTTTGTGTGTGGTGTGCTGTGTGTGTATCGTGTGTGTGTGTGTGTGTGTGTGTGTGTGTGTGTGGTGGTGCTGTGTGTGTGTGTGTCGAGTGCTGTGCATGTTGTGTTGTGTGTTGGTATTTGTGCGTGTCGTGTGTGTGTGGAGTTTGGTGTGTGTGTGTGTAATGGTGTGTGTGTGTTCTCAGCCTCATTCTTCTCTTATATCTATTCACAGTTTAACGTCTGCCGACGTCTGCCAGCCAACAATAACGTCGGCAGCAGAAGACAATAGCAGGATTCATCAACCAACAAACAACAACTTGAGGCAGTCGGCAACAATGTTAATTAACAGCAAGCAAGCAGCAGCAAAGCAGGCCGCAACGACAACTGACGAGAACACAGCAGCAGCAGCGAGTCAGCAACAACAATCAATAATAAGATTCTACAAAACTATCAACTGTCGCAAGGCAGCAATTATCAGGAGGAACACAACACGAACAACAACAACC